GGATACTGTGTGTACCAGCAGCAGCCAATCACAGGAGGGGGAGGATACTGTGTGTATCAGCGGCAGCCAATCACAGGAGGAGGAGGATACTGTGTGTACCAGTGGCAGCCAATCACAGGAGGAGGAGGATACTGTGTGTACCAGTGGCAGCCAATCACAGGAGGGTTAGGATACTGTGTACCAGCGGCAGCCAATCACAGGAGGAGGAGGATACTGTGTGTACCAGCGGCAGCCAATCACAGGAGGAGGAGGATACTGTGTGTACCAGTGGCAGCCAATCACAGGAGGGTTAGGATACTGTGTACCAGCGGCAGCCAATCACAGGAGGAGGAGGATACTGTGTGTACCAGCGGCAGCCAATCACAGGAGGGGGAGGAGCAGCTCCTTCCTCACTGAATGTCATTTCAAAGGCAGGAATGAAGCGGAGCGCTGCTGCCCTTCTGTGGCCAGATCTACAACATCAGATATATGCATACTAAAACAGATTGAGACATTTAATGCAAGAAATCATTGTTTTTCATCCAGAATTTGGTCTGTTTTGCTTCCGTAACATGTCTTCTTCTGTCATGACTAGTGGAAATGAAAACATTCAAAAGTCTTTATTCTATTGCACTTTATCTATTTGAATCCGTAGAATTCAGTTGCAATACATATCTTTCAGAAATCTCCTATAGTTTTACTCCCATCTATATTCCAATTCATTTCTAAAAACGTGGTGAAAATGTTTTTTTTTCTGATTTATGAAGTGATAAGAAAAATCCAAAATCAATTCTCTAAAAAAAAATATTTTAATATGTCAACAAAAACAAACAAGAAGTGTGGTCCTGGCTTTATCCAATGTTCAGAGTTCTGTTCTGGAAATATATGCAAATTGGTGCATATTTAATTAGAGAATGCCTCATTTGCATATTTAAAACATTTCATAATATATATTTGAATTCACCTGTTTTGCCTTAAGTCACATTTTGAAACGTCTGCATGTTCATTGCATCATATAACAAAATATCAAACCAAGTAGCGCCTGTAAATAAATTATTTTATAGTGTCCTTGTTACATGTATTTACTACAGTGATAACAATAAATTATGCATAATTACATGCAACTAACCCTCATCCTAAACCGTAAGTCCAGTATAGTATAGTAGTTAATTAATATAATTCAGTACTTAAATGTATAGCCACTTTTGCAATGATTTTTAATCATCTGCTGTCAGTGTGATTTAGTGTTATTTCATAATGCTGCTTTAAACTACTTTCTGTGAATGTGCAAGACTGCTATAGGTAAATAACTAAAGTGCAGTAAAACTGTCTGCACTACAAACCAGTGTGTTTTTGATTATAATACATTAAAATATCAAGCAGCATAAAAATAAACCTGCTGTAAATAACTGGAAAAGCCTCACACATTCATGTTACAAATGCTCTTACATTACAGAGAAGCTTGATAGAGTCAGTTCTCCTCAGTGGAGCCACAGCTGTAGAGAATCAGTCAACATGCTCCACCAGCGTTTGACAAACAGGGCCTAAACTGCTTAGACTAGTATT